TATACTTTATTAATATAATTAAACGGATTTAAGCACGAATAATTTTATGGTAAATAAAGGTATTTACCTCTCTCGAAGTTTCAACTAGGTTGTACTGGCCGTGGTCTATTCAGCTCATGACCATTGTTCATGATAAGACCCCTTCCCTTTATCCCATTATTTGGGCTGCGCGCTGCATGTCATCCTCTTCCGCTGATCCTTATCGGCCGTCATATCTGAGTATACTCCTCATACTCATTCATATCATTTAACTATTTATTTTATTTATTTATACTCTTTATTGCACCAATTACAGAACAAAATAAAAAAAAAACAATTAAAATATAAAATATACATTGATACAAAAGGCGGTCTTATCGCTAAGCAATCTCTTCCAGACTACCTTTAGGTGGATAGAGAAATAAAAATAAGAACAGGGTAGGTGGCGCACGTAATAAATAAAAATAAATGTATATGACTCAAATATACATAAATATAAATATATATACATATTAATACATTTCTACATACACATACATATACTTAATAGTGCACATACATTTGGAAAGAATGAAGGAAGATTAGTTATGAGAATACTAAGAAATTAATTAAAGGGAAAGAAAATGAGATTTGACAGTGGCTTTAAAGCTGGCAAGTGATTGAATGCTCCATGAATGAATAATTTAACTATATTAATAATTAAATAATTATGCCTTATTGATATTACAAGTCGTTACATTTTCTTCTCTCCACAGACAAAGCAAAGGAATTCGAAAGGGTTGTCTTAAAATACAAATGGGTTGAAACAAATGTCAAACCCGAGCCATTCAAACTCACAATTAGTATTTCCAGTTCCCGTTAACAGTTCCCGAGTCGACCGCGAAATTAACCTTAAATATTTAGCGTCCAATATAATTTTAGTTAGTATGGAAAGTTTAAATGAAATCCAGTATTTTAATCTTCTTTATTATTAAGTTAAAGTCATGGGCTTTATATGAGACATTTTTTTGCAACTTATGTACGTCATAAGTTTTTATCACTAAACCTATGGCCTCTAGTGTAGTTGTTAAACAGAAAGCGTAGCTTCCAATGGTTGGGAATTCGATTCCTGGCACGATATAAACATTTGTATTCGTAAGTATGAGTGTTTGATCAGGGTATTTACTATATATAATATGTATATACATATTTATGTATTCATAAATGAATATATTTATATCTAATTATAACCCATGCTCTGCTTAGCATGTAAGCAAATATGTAACTGATATATGTGCATAGAAGATATACGAATTTCCTTATGAAAATCTATGGAGGAGATAATGAAAATTCAGTGCTAACATTTTTATATATTTTTTAGTTAGTTATACTCTAATACCTTTTATTTCGCCGCTAATAGTCTAGGATTTGATCACATGAAATTGTTACTGCACAGCAGACAGACATACTTATCATTTCTTTTAACATACATAATGTTACTTACATGTATAAAAAACATAGATGTTTCCATAACAGTTTTCATCGATTAAAGCTATCAGTCTAGGGACAAATGAAAACTTAATATTATTATATAATTTAACATCGTCATATTCGATTTCACGACCTTTGAGATCAAGTCGCGTATAAGTCGGGGTATTACAGCACTAAGCCACTGTTAGTGCATTTGAAAGACATGTTATATTTAATTAATAAGTTCTATTAACTTTGCATAGAAGATTCAACTTAACATCTTGTTGCTAATACCACGCAAGTTATATGCTTAACTATATTGTACTTAACTTTAAGTCCCCCAACAAGCAGTGGACAGAGCCATGCTCGAAGTTTCTAAAGGAAGTTTCCTTGTGTGATAGTATTACTATTATATTAATAACAAGCTGTTACTCGCGACTTCGTCCGCAAGTTAATTCAACGTTATTTTATTAAATCAAATGAAATGTCTAAAATAAAAGTAGCTTAATTGACTCCATATAACATTAGCTATCAGCGAGTGAAGGTCTCGTAAAAATCGCTCCAACCGTTTTTAGAGAAAATTTTTGATACATGTACCGTAACTAAACTAAACTGTACTGAATATATATTATTTATTTATTAGTTACATATTATAGTATTATATATAGTATATATGTTAGACGTACAATGAGAGTCACTGGCAGTTTTTATATTCATTTATCCATATTTACAATATAATGTTCTTTATATACATTTTGTTTTATATCACTTCTGTCAACGCGCTCTGCTATAATAAACGTCTACAAGCATCTCTCTATTTTCATAAATTTTTTACTATATATAGGTAGTGAAAAGCTGTTAATTTGAAATTACAGACATACACTTCAATTTTATTTATTTGTATATATTGGAGGTCATTGGACTGGATTGGATTGTCGTTGGAGGTTTAAATAATTTTCGCTTTTTAATTTCCTATCCCTTCCTATACCTCGATGTTCCGCAATAGATAATCATAATGATTTTTTTTAATGAAATATAATTGTTTGTGATTAAAGTTTTAATAAAATAAATCCTGTCAAATGATTCCATAAATTCTGTATCGTTTATTTTCTGTTCTATATGCTATAATAAAAGAATCATTACATAGTATAAAATAAAGTCGCTGTCGCTGTCTGTCCGTCCCTATGTCTGCTTAAATCTTTAAAACTACGCAATGGATTTTGGAGCGGTTTTTTAATAGATAGAGTACTTCAAGAGGAACGTTTCTATGTATAATACATGTACACCCGTGCGAACCCGGGGCGAGTAGCTAGTAACCTATAATAAACTGACTAAACATTTCCTAACAGCTAGGTACTCCATTATTTTTAATGAAGAGGATATGTAGAGTAGAATATAAATAAAATAAATAAATAAGTACATAAGCATAATCTAAATTATGGCCAGTAATAATAATAATAATCACAAATTCTAAAAATAAACTTTATTTTATATATTTTTATGCATAAATTCCTATTACGCCATTACAAGGGAAGCGAGACCAAAGATTTCTACGATTTTAATTTTTTTATACGACTTCAGTTGCTTCAAATAGAAATTTATATATAAATTTCTCTTAGCTGTAATTAGCTGTTGATTTTTTTCATCTTATTATAGCTGTATTTATAGAGATGGTATTTTTACTGACTTCGAATTTAGTTGTAAACTAACTTGTTTCGGTTGAACGAAAAGATGTGGCAGTAATATTATAAATGAGGCATGATACCTTAGTACCTCCGGAGTACGATGACGTGATGGGGATGCGATGTGGTAACTACGTTCGCTTCATCTCATCTGAATGAAATTAGGTATGCAGATAGTCTCGACCCTGAGAAAGGACATAGGCTACTTTTTAATGCGAAAAAGGGGTTTTAAGCGGTTGAAATAAAAGATGCAAAGTTGTATGGAGGTATCATCATTTTTAAAGCTAAAAGCCTGAAACTAATTTTTAGGCTATTGACTGAGTCGTATGGAATTAAATATTTTTTCATTATTTGGTCAAGGTCACTACTTTACACGGACGAAATCACGGGTACAGCTAGTGGTGTATAAATATATAAATTTCTCCGTGTGTAACGGACCTTGTAATTTTCGTAATGGCATAATATCTTGAACGGCCCCCAGTTAAATGTAGTACGTACAAGAATCTCCACTTAACTCATAAAAACGTCGAGGGTTTTATTAGTTTTTTTTGTTACGCACATAAATACGTATAATATCATTAAACTTTTTTTGTGTAAGATGATGGAATGGTGATGTTTCTTAGGCTGATGACGCGGCACCAAAAAGAAAATTAAAGGATGATAATGATTTCAAGTCCTTTAGCCAATTTCCCATTTAACCACATATCTCTGGGAAATCGTGATCGACCTGATAAGATACTGCTTACAAATAGGCCACCAATCTTCATTACTAACAATCCCCTCCAGCTGTCATTAGAAAGTAAATACTTTTGTGAAACACAAGCTTTCCGGAATATCTTTAGATAATAAATACTTTTGTAAAAATATCTAGTGGCATATTAGAAGAATATATACCATCAAATTGAAAACCTTCTTTTGACTATCGGTTGAATATTCAAACATGAATCTTTTAGTCTTTTTTTTAACATTTCATTTTAATGTTATTTGAGAAAGTAAAAATAATCTTGTTTTCTTCAACACATCTACATATACATACATATATAATTGCGAAATTAATTTAGCTGTATGCCTTACACGTCCAAAAATTAATTTTAATTTATTAATGAGTATATTTACAGAATATTTACTTCGCTGTTATATTCTTGTACAACAACTATCTTTATTTCCATAAATATTCATGTTATAATAGAACATATTATACCTACATACAACTGTAACAATATATATACACTCGTAGTTCCCAAAATATAAACAATTCGCTCAGAGTCAAGTTTTCCTTAAACATATCAGAAACTGTAATGATCGCACCCTGTAAAAACAATCCAAACCCAGCACGTTATTAGACGGGCAACTCCAAACACAATTTAGTTCCGTAAAAAGTGGCTGTTTAACAAAAAAAGTTCCGCAACAATGGCAATTTGTCCCGTTTATTTTTCTCCATGAGGGAGATAACAGGGTGACAAGTTTGTGCAAAACTTACATCTACCTAGCCTGTTGGCGACAACTACCCAACTTCCTGTGATATATTGTATTAATTTTTTGCCCGACTGTCCAACGAGATACTCTATTTCTTGGGAAAAAGAATTATTAATTTTTACATAATATAAATAAATTAAAAGTAAATTAATTGAGATATGTCTAATATATAAACGGTGACTTTTATAATTTGCACATTTACCTACTGACTGCTCTTATAAGAAAAAATATATAAATAAATATTTCATTTTCATTAAAGTTAGACAGAATTACACTTATTTAAGACAAAACTTTAAGCAATAAACAGTAGGTACTACTGACAGACTCAAATATAATAGTTTTCTTAAGTCAGTTTTAAATCTCCATTTAAATAAAATATCAAATAATAATAATAATTCAATTTATAATCACAATTCTAAACACGATAACCGAATTAATAACAAGATAAAACAATAACTAAAACCTATGTATACTTATATACAAACAAATAAATCTACAAAAACGATAAATATCCGCTTGCGAGGCCGGCCATTTGTACGGGAGATAAGTGAACAGCGGACCGATGTAAACATCAAAAGTCCAAATCGAATCCAAAGCCGAACCTCACTCTTTTCTGCCTATCTATTAGAGTGCTTCCAACGAGCCTCAAAACGCGAATTTCATTATGCGGTTCGTAAAATAAAACATCCTTCTGAAAAGTAAATCCGCCGCGACATTGAGAGTCTACGAAAATTTTTAATTCCGAACCATTCTGGTATTTTTTATGTAGCGCCACACCAATCGTTGTCTTTCCACTTCTATTACCTTCATTCAATATCGTCGCTATTCGAAGATCAGGTGTAAATTGCTTAAAAATACACGCTTGGAAACCGGCTCTGCTGATCGTAGACGACAAAGCGAAAGATGGCCTTTCATAACGACCACTAATGGAGAAATCTGGCATAGGAGGGTATGCTAAAGGCTTGAAGCACACTTCAGTGCCCATACTGAACTCGGGAATAATTTTATACATCCACTGCGTTACGACTCTAAGAGTATTCGGGTCAACATCTTTCATTGAACAAGTGATTGAACCGCACGACTTCGGGTTATCTTTTTCCAACACTATTTCAGTCTCGGACGCGATTAAATCTCGGATTTTGGAGGTCAATCGCATTTTGTATGCGCCATTAAGGTCTTCGTAATATGTAGCAGTAGCCGATCCAGCAGCATCCAATAATAATGATTCATTTGTACTTTTTGGTTCCATTTCTTTATTTAACAAATGTGTAAAGCATTTGTATGGTTCCTTGGACTTTCCGTAATTATATTGTTGAATAAGTTTCACTTTATTCATTATTTCCCTCCGAATAATTAGCCTAGCTCCAGTAAAACACATAGGGAAGACACTCTTCGCTTCTGAATGTACTTCGCTCAGCTTTGTCAATTTTGCTTTAATAGGTTCCACATAGATCAACTCTTTCTTTTTCGGGAGAAGTTTCTGTAAACTTGAAACGAAGCTACTGACTTCTTCTTTAATTTTATCTTCATTTAAGTCCATTATGGGTTTATGTTGCTTGTTATTTGATTTATCGGATTACAAGTTAGACGTCATTGACCTGCCTGATTGTATTTTTAACTGGCACGGAGTGTCAGCCGGCCAGTCACACAATGCAAGGAGTCTTTCTATTTTTAACATAATTATAATCTACGCGGTGGTTAACCTATTTTAATTGATTACTTATTCTATTATCATTATTAATGTGAATGCTTGTTAATTAACCACTATTAAATAAAATTAAAAAGAAACAGAATACAATCTATACCTAATATATATTATGGCCTATTTTCACACCAATATTTTTTTATCCACATGGACAGCCAGCTATTAATAGAATAATTAATTACTTCAGGATACCGTAAACAACTTATAGAGATACTTATTATTAAACTCTATAGTTTTATACATATTCCATAATACAAAAAAGTTTATTTTATAACATAGGGGAGAAACAAGCTTGTGACTCACCTGATGATAAGTGATCACCTTCGCTCATGAGCACACTCAACGCCAGGGGAATTGGAAATGCGTTACGTGCCGGCCTTTTAAGCTCTTTTCTTGACGATTTCAATATCGGTTCGCAAATACCACTGCTAGTAACTGCTGAAATGCGCAATTACTATATTTGTTCATAAAATAGTTAAAGAATAAAAATAGATCCACAAAATCGTGAAGATATTACTCACATATTTGTAATGTATGTATATGCGAGTACATTCAAAGTATCTATTTTGAAATAGGTAAATCAGATACAAGATATATCTAATAATAACTCACATACCTTCACGCCATTATGTCCCGAACAATACTAATGTCACACACGTCTTCCAGATACGTAGTATTCATAATTTTGTTCATATGTACGCTACATTAACTTTATAGAATTGGGGTACTTGGGTACTTTTCTCCTTAGGGTTATTTAAGAGGTAGTTGCTTGTGAACGAATTTTAATATTACCTGCGATTTAAAATAACATTTAAATCCAATATTAACAGAAAATCAAAATGCAGTGTGTATCCGAAATAAATAACAGTTAGCTTTCTGCAGCGTTAGCGACTAAAAACTTGTACAGAATTGCAGAGGAAGAAGCTTTTGTCGTTTTGTGATAGAGAATATTCAATTCGTGTATAAATTAATTATGAGTTATCTAGTCATGTATAGGGTCAATGTTATTATATAAAAGACTAACGTGGAAGAGTGGAATTAACAACAATTGTAATATATATTTCCCTAAGTATGTAAAATAATTCAATAGCATTGATTCATAATTTACCAGTCAGGACTAATTAACTTGAATATTCCCCTTTATCCCATGCTTTAATGATAATGAACAATAACAGAAGAAAAAACACAGAAACCATTCACGCCATAATTTGAATTTTAAATGTTTAAATTACGTATTATAAAATATATCTGTATGTACTACACTGAGTTGCAATATCGATTTTGATTTTCTGTTAGGGTATTGTAATAATGCAATAAATAAATAATTGTAGGTACAGTATAAGAAGTTCGTATAAGTATTCGAATATTAAATCTCTTTTTTGAAACAGCTGAAAAGATATATAAAGAAACCTTGGATCTGTAAGGTCTGTAAGTTTGTTTTAAACATTAAATATAAATTACCTTCTATATATACGTGTACTGCCTCTTAAATCTCTCGGATCCCTTTCGGAAATAGATAAAAGGGATCCAACACAAGGTATTGGACACCTGATACAATTTGAGATCACAAGAGTCTAACCCTTTTAACAAATTGCAATAAATGTGGGACGTATGCGAAAGGCGAAAACAATGGTATTGTGGACCAATTTAGCTTGACGCTGATCGACTTAGGTCCGACAAAGTGATTTCCACTTTCGCAAATTCATGGATATTAATTTGCGGTCAGTTTCTATGCGATGTACCGTAACGACTTTAATTGGACTTTTAGGTTGGTCTTTTGTCTGTTATTACATCTTTATCTATACTTCTATATTAATATTATAAAGAGGGGAGAGGGGATGGTTAGTAATGTGGACTGATGATCTTATTTCTAGCCATGTACAATGTCAGGTTGACCTCCACGCGATTCCCCCTGGAAACCATCGTGATAAATTCTCGGTGAATTTGTCAAGATAGCACATCTTGACAAATTCACCGAGAATTTATCACTATCAACTAACTAACCTGACCTCATGCTCATCTTATCATCCTACACTGGTGCCGCCAGCGTAAACCGTTAGCGCAGGCGGGTGCATCATTTGATTATCATAAAAAAAATTAAAGGTAATGTTTGTGACGGGATAATCTCTGGATTTACTAAAATGATTTAGAAAATTCCTTTATCAGTAGAAAGCCACGTTATTTGCGAGTATCATAGGCTATATAATATCACGCTACGGACCAGTAGGAGCCGGGCTGCAATGAAAAATAAAATGTGTCGCAGGTCAAATTGCGGGTCAGGCAGTTATTATACATACAAAATCATTTGACCTATTTAAGGCACCAAGTGGCTTTCTTTCCAAACTAAATGTCGGTTGAAGGGATAGGGCAATGAAATTATAGGTACGGTGGCATAAGATTCTAGTCCACGAGAATAGCAATGCATGAGTGCATATTTATGTAGACGATTTAGTACAAGGACGACTACCTTGGTAATATTTTACGGTATCTTTATTCACTACACTACACTACAAACAAAACACTATTAACACTACTACAAACAAAGTTTTACCTTAACATAAACAGTACCGTTTATAATTTTTCGATACGTTTTTCTATTTTATATTATTCTAATGTCTTCAAGTACTTACAAAGATAGAGAGAGAAACTCCAATCGTATTAAATCCGGCTTTTGCTCTTGTTGAACGGATTTGAAGGAAATTTGATACAAAGATTTCTTTATTTCAAGCGAGTAAGTCCCCGTATTACGGGTTTAGAGCATTTGACGGCGTCGGTGGTCTAGAGGTTTAGCACACAGCTTTACATCCGATGGTAGCGAGTTATATTTCTCGCACGGTACAGACATTAAATTCATGATATGATTGTATGTGTTGGTTTGTTGTTCTATGTATATATCACAAACATTATGGTATGGATTTACAAAAACATATCTAAATATATCTATTAGTTACCTACAACACAAGGTCTGCTTAGCTTGGGACTAGATGTCGCTGTGTGAATTGTACAAAGATCATATTATTATTGTTGAAATTACTGCCCTCATAAGGCAACCATCGCATATATTCATGAAAACAAACATACAAAACAAACTGATTGGTGGCTGAAATAAGTAATACATAAATTCCTATACAAACGACTTTGCTCAAAGTCTACCTCAGTAATCTTTCAATGAAGTAAAAATGAGATTGTTTGTGATAAAAAATAATTATTTATTTTTATCTCATTTGATTATTTTTTTATTTTATTACGTCATTTGTTTCTAGTTCGGTTCGGTTACTTTAACAGCCGTCATTGGCCAACCACATTTATTTCAGAAAGGTTGTGTGACAGATGGTGCTGGCTATTTGTAGAGCATAGTACAGTGGTGCCCCCAATCAACTTTCTAATCCAATCAACATATAATTTCGTAAATAAAACAATATTTACAAAAAATAAGGACAATTTTATTACAATTTCTTCAACCATATAATACGGACAGCAAATTATGCCACAGTCACAGCTATAAATTCAGAATTTCTTATTAAATGCTACGTAAAGCGGCCTTCGAATTTATGGCAAACGAAATGGTAGTTTAAAGAAGTACAAGGGTTCAACTGTACCGTAATAAAATATAACGAGTTGTGAACAATCGTTTTAGATTCGGAAGCGAAATGACTGCAGTAATCGCTTTTATAACGATAGTTACGTCAGTTTAAAAAAATCTTTTAATGTAGCTAGGTTTCACATTAATCTTACTAATGTTGTAAACTAGTTACTCGCCCCGGCTTTGCCCGGGTGTACATGTATTATACATATAAACCATTCTCTTGAATCACTCTATCTATTAAAGAAAACGCTTCAAAATCCGTTGCGTAGTTTTAAAGATTTAAGCATACATAGCGATAGACAGACAGCGACAGTGACTTTGTTTTATAGTATGTAGTGATGCGAAACTTTGTGAGTATAGATTTTATGATCTTGCTATATAATATTGTCTGCAATATACTCATCATAATGTAACAAATATTAAAAACGCGAACCTTTATGTGTAAGGTTGATGGAGAGATCTTTGTTACTGTTTCACGCAAAAACTACTGAACGAATTTTAATGAAACTTTACAATAATATAGCTCATATATCAAAATAATAATAATAATAATCTGAGGACAATTCACACAGCGCCATCTAGACCCAAGTTAAGCTAACTAAAGCTTGTGTTATGGGTACTAGATAACTGATATAAAAACATAGATTTTTTTTCGTAAATATACATATTATACATAGAAAACACCCAGACCGATACAAACAATCATACTCATGAATACAAATGTTTGCACCGTGCGAGAAATCGAACCCGCGACCATCGGAAGTAAAGCGGTGTGCTAAACCACTAGACCACCGAAGTCGTCAGCATGTATGTCAACTTACTCATCTGGAATGGCAACGTATAAATGGTATCACAAAATCTAGCTATTCATGTTACTGTTTACCATCATGTGGGTCGTAATGTTATTTGACATTCAAAATACATAAAAAGGACGCACAAGAATAAAAAAAAATACTTTTTGAATAATTAAAAGTGCGTATATTCAATTTATAAGAATAATGATTAATTCTATGATTCAGGCCAAATTATTGTGGCTTAGGTGAGACTACTATTTAATTGAAGAACGCGAAATGAAGACGTGTTTTTTAATGAAAATGTTTTCCTACATATAACAAATGAGCTGCGACTTTTAGTACGAAACCAACTCTTAGTTGAAGAAAGGCGAAAGCAAGATGGATTCACAATGAAAAAGCTTTTTCACATTATTCAGAGGACAATGCTGTCCTTCGTAGAAAAATCCCTTTTCGTAACACCTAACTCCAGACCATATTTATATATAGTCTCGCTAAAATAATTGTATTTTATGTACGT